CAAGCTGGCCCAATGTTTTAGAAAACCCGCAAACTTTTTATGTTGCCACCCCTAAAAACCCCGTCGCGACTAAATTACAAATCACAAAATTATGTTAATCGTCGATTCATTTTACCCTAAAAAAAATTGTTTGAACAATGCGGAACTATAAAAATTTATTGCTTTATTTAAATGTTCGATGACTTGAAACGTAATTAACGGAGCGAGTGTAAGGTCATCCATAGTAAGCGCTTTGTTTTTCAATTACCTGTAGCTCTACTTATTTACAGACCGGTGCAGCGGTGGTAGGACCTCTTGTGAGTCCGCGCGGGTGGGTACCACCACCCCGCCTATTTCTGCTGTGTAGCAGTAATGCGCTTCGGTTTGAAGGGTGGGGCAGCCGTTTTAACTATACTGAGATCTTAAAACTTATATCTCAAGGTGGGTGGCACATTTACGTTGTGGATGTCTATGAGCTCCAGTGACCACTTAATACCAGGTGGGCTGTGAGCTCGTCCGCCCATCTAAGCAATAAAAAAAAAGACACCATACTGATATATTTGTAGGATATATTTGATATATTGATTTTCTATTTTTGTATATTTGAAATAAAGCTGTTGTATTCTTTGTACAAGGAGCACTGCTGCTTGAGATAGAGGTTTTATCAGCTAGTTTAAGCACATATGCAAATTATGATTACCTATGTTTCTACTTCTATGTTAACAAAAAATAAATAAATAAATTTACAATATTATCATATAGTGTTCTCGAAGCGAAAAACTGGTCTTACCTACTACCCCGAAGTACATGAAAAACAATATTTATTAATTATTATTAGATAAGCTCACGCGTCATGTCAGTACGCAATGTATTTATGTTTTCTTTTAGATCACACGAATCAATAGACTTTTGTCTAGGTACATTGCTTGCCATGAAAAAACAATTATTTATTTATTAATACGTGAAGCAAAAACTATGTATCCCTTTTTACGAAAATTGCGCGAACGGAGGAGTATGAAATTTTCCACGCTTATAGAGAATATAGTGAAGAAGTGCACAATGCTAGTATTTTTTTTAAATAATGCATAAATTATACATTAAATCAATAAAGAAAACATTACACACACTACATACCATGTATTTGACGCACACACGCATGCATACTATTTATTGTCAAATTTTTGTTCTTGACGTCTGTTGTCAAATTGAGAATAGAATAAATATTTTTTGTCTTTGTTAATATTTTTTATAATGTAGTCTTGGTGAAATTTGTCATTATAGAAGACTAAAATACAATCATAATAGTATACAAACTTACAATTCCAATTAATTATAGTCGAATTTCGACTACTGCGGGACCTCTAGTTTATTTAATTAGCTGTTTTTTTTCGTGTTGCCTATCTTGTTAGAAATCACTGTCAATAGTTTATGCGAACTATTTGAACACACTGTATACATATATACAGGGTGGTATACAGATATGTTTGATGTTCGTCTGATTTCGACAACTAACTTAAGCCAGTGTATTGTTTAAAAGTGAGAATATAGTCATGCATCACTTAACGTAACAACGCCATTGACGTAACATTAAAGATCTTATGCTCGCCTAAAATCGCGAACTAGAAAAAACCATGACCTACATCCTCTTTATTAACATCAAATAATCATTCTCCTATTCACTTGTAATATATATTCAATTACAACAACAAACCGTAACAAATCATCCATCCATAAAAACAATAACTCGAATACAGTGTAAGGGTAACCATGCGTTATGTGAAGGACGTTAAAGCTTAAATTAAATTAGAACAAAAAAATACGTTACGACGATCAGGTCCAATGAATATCGATAATAGTAGTATCGTTGTTAACACTGGATGGTACAGATGTCAGGGTCTACCTTTTGTCGTAATTATTGAATGAGCCTTGAAGTTTTTTTTTTAATTTTATTTCTCTCCGTTACAATTGTAATCTTGGTCACACTAGTTTCATCACATCTATTACTGTGGCTCTATTTACAAGGAATCTGTTTCACACGATGTCGCTTTTACACGGCCCTAAACATAGATTAAAGAAATTAGATTATTTAAAAAAAAATGTATGTGTGATTGTACATTCGCATATCATTAAAGTCATTTTTGGGTTTCATTCAATTGGCTATACGTAGAACTCCCCGTGTTGTGTATTACACATACGTTTACTTTAACCCTCCAGGTTGAGCCTTTGCTCGCCCACCTGGCCTGGTTAACCTGGAACGGCCCCCGGACCATCAGTAACCACTCTATCACAAAAAAAGAAACATTCATCATTCAAACATTTATTAAGTACTATTATCTCATCTATCAACTGACTTTAATTTTTATTATAACGAATTTTAGCTTATGTTATCTATTTATTTAGTTTTGGGAATGTCCTGTCATTGTCAAAATGTCTATTTTATAATCTATACTAATATATAAATCTACAGTGGTTTTTACGGATGTTCCGTTATAACTACTGAAACATGCATCCGATTCACTTGAAACTTGGTATTCATGTAGAAAATGCATGTACTTAATGGATAGGCTAATATTTATATGAGTGTTGGAGTCCCTAATAATAATGACAATAAATAATAATGTTAATTTTAAATTCCCAGCCAAGCGGGTGAGTACGGCTAGTACATAATATGAATATTTAGTACTAGCGACCCGCCCTCGCTTCGCTTCGGAAACATTAAAACACACATGAAACCAAAAAATAAAAATCAAAAAAAAATTAAAAAAGTAGTCTATGTTCATCAGGGACAATGTCGGCTACTAATGGAAAAAAAATTTTTCAAATCGGTCCAGTAGTTTCGGAGCCTATTCGAAACAAACAAACAAACAAACAAATCTTTCCTCTTTATAATATTATGTATAGATTCAGAAATAATGATCGAATATTGATAAGTCGGCGAACACTAGTTTTTACTATTACTCGACTCTAGTATTCTTCTTCGCGTTTTAATCTTAGGATGCTAGGTCGATACCTTTTTTTTTATCACATTTGACATTTCGATTTTGCAGCACCTTTCTTTATGATCGCTCACTTCGAATCATTCCATTCATTAGCACAGTACAAACATTATTAATCCGTATAACAAGCCTTTGGACGGTCGTCTTCTTTACTTCAATTGGCTGTGATGAAGCTGAATCAGACAATACAATGGGACGTGCACGCGAAGGGTACATAAAATCGCGTCACACAACAACTAGGTCATTGCTCATAAATACGCTATTAACTATGTTTGCGATTGTAGATTATATCAATGCGTGGGACAGAATTTATTTGGAAATATTCATGTTGGTTCCAATTCCTTCCTAGTTAAATTGTCAATTGGATGAGGACTGATAGGTACAATCTGACTGTCTATTTCTGCTACAAACCATAATAATTTCCGCTACGAAGGGTACGACTTCCGTTTTTTTTTTCTATAATTGCTGAAGTCCACGGGCGACGGTGTACATTCACCATCAGGTGGGACGTATGCTCGTCTGCCTATTAGGGCAATAAATAAATAATAATAAAAAAAGTCATGCGATATAGTTGAGATTTAAAACTCATGTGGGAAAATATATGGTGATTACGTACGTATGACTATGACGTATACAGGTATCAATACCTAATACAGTCAAACCTGGATAAGCGAGAGTTTAAGGGAGCACAATCTCATTCTCGCTTATAGAGGTTTCTCACTAACCCGAGTTTCTCGCGAATGCTCCCTCTGAATTTCATTTCGCGATTTTCCGGATTCAAACGCATTCACTATTCACTTAATGACAGTACTTTAATTTACCGTTTTGACATGATGCAGAACAGAACTTTCCTTCGCAATTGATTAACGATAAACTGAGTAAGTCCGACAAACAGGACGGTACACAGGGACACGTGTCCATTCGAAAAGAATGCGATAAAATAACAACGTTATTTAGTTCCACGAAATAGAATAGGTTCAATGTTGACGAGAAAACAATTCAAAAACAATAGAAGGAAGTTCCACAAAAGTTAATAATGAGTCATAAAATAGCAGGTGTTAAATTTGTAATTTGTTTTTTCATTTGTTCCTCCTAAATAATATAAATAAGTAAAGCTCGACTGTCGCTTATAGAGGTAGATAAGTAGCAGTCTCACTTACGCAGGTCCATGAGGGAAAAACGACTCTCTCTTACAGAGGTTTCTGTTTCTCTCTAATAGAGGTTTTGGGAGCTTAAAATGACGGGTCCTAGCGATTACTCTCACTTATGGAGTTTTCTCGCTTATCCAGTTCTCGCTTACCCAGGTTTGACTGTAATTAATACCCAAAAAAAGACATCTTTCGTCCCCTCCTCCAACTTCTCATGGCTTAAGGCAATCTCTCGTGTCCACCTCCATCCATGTCTTTCTTTCGATGTTGGACCATCTAATCACATATTCGATTTTCGTGTACTGTTAGGTATGTGTAGAGGGACCAAAGATTATTATTGAGGTTTATTTACGAATGCGACTAGTGATAGCCCTGCCAAGCTCATACCCACTCTCGTTACACTACTGATATAAAAAAAAAAAACCTATCTCCAGGAATTTGCTTAAATTAGGAACATTGAAACTTTGCGCAGTTATTGGCCATCAAAGTAAGATAAGTGGCGCATCAACATCATCATTATAATCGGTTACTCTTGGTAGAGCAGTCGCGGTCATGTGGAATCTTTGTTTATCATAGCCTTGACAGCTATTCTCCACAATTCCATAAGTAGCGCAATTCTGCCTATTCGAAGCGTACATAGGCATCAAGAGTAGTGACTGAAGTAATGACTGAAATAATGATGAAGTAATGATGAAGTAATGACTGAAGTAATGACTGAAGTAATGACTGAAGTAATGACTGAAGTAATGACTGAATTAATGACTGAAGCTATGACTGAAGCAATGACTGAAGCAATGACTGAAGTAATGACTCAAGTAATGACCGAAGTAATGACTGAAGAAGGTAAAGTTTCTGATTAATTTATTTTTGTTGCCAGAATAAATCAAGATGTTCCGCAGCGGTCTACTGGGTAAGCTGGGCGACTTCTACAAATGGTACGTCCTCGGTCTTGTCTCCGTCGGCTACATATTGGGAGAACTTGGACATTATCTCATAGGTAAGTTCTATCTAATAAATAAATAACTGGGAACAAATCACGCACGGTCATCCGGCCCCAAATTACCCTGTGTTATGGTTACCAGTGCGCTTAGTGCGAGTTTTTTAACGCTCTCGATAACGTAAAAGTAATTTGTATGGAATTGGAATGCTTGCTTACGTTTGCCGCTAGAGGCGCAGTTTCAACTCCATATAAATTTGAGTTAACTTTTACGCTATCGAGAACGTTAATAAGCTAAGCACGTAGAGACGGACCTACATACTTATATACATTTAGATGTATACATATATAAATAATAAACACCCAGGCAAAGAGTAAATAAATCTCATCACACGGATGTTACGGGAACAGAACCCTCCACAATCCTGGGCGCAACAATCCAAGGCTCTAAGAAGCCTTGCTTGCTTTGAAGCGACATTAAAAATAAACACTCACATGTATCGTATATGCATTACAAAAACCGTAACCATCCGTAGACCACATCGGTACATTGTCTTTGTGAAACTCTTAATAAAGCATACAAAAATAATTGATCCTTTTACGCACGTAAAAAAACTCAATTAACAAAAGAATAAGTTTTTAGATGTAGCCTATCGACTGAGTGTCCCACATACGATAGGGCGACCTTCGCCGATCCAACTCAAGCCGCAAATGTCATTGTACAGGCTGTATGCACTCGCTTGTACAGGGTTATCAATATTGTCGTCGAGGGTTGTCAATAGGAAGTTCTTTCGAGGCTCCTTCATATGGAATCTTATGACAAGTTTTTTAAAATAAAAAGAGTCTTATTCTCACGGCTCGTTACGAGTTGTTCTTTTCGACCTTTCAAACCAGAACGCCTGACTGGTTCACGACACAAATAAGCAGTGTAGTAGTGCGTACGTGATCTTACAGTTCACTATACCAACAGAAACATAGGCCCTATCATCAGAATAGTACATTGGCAAACACGTTGGAGGAAATGTCCATTTTCTCCCGCGGTGCACATACTATTTTTTCTTATACCAGGCTGAAAGTTCGTGGAGTACCGAGCTAAGGTCCAGGGGCGAAGCCCCGGTGGGGTCCAGGGGCGAAGCCCTGGCCGGGGGTAGAGGGGGCTGATAAAACTGGAGGTTTCGCAACAACCCACAGTCATTGGTAACGTGCAAACTTATCGTGGTACACTTCATTCACGGTTGTTTGAATAAGACTTAATATATTGCGCAAACGAACGCTCTAAGATTGTGGTCAATGAATGATAAAAAAATATGTAATTTTTTTGTACGTTAATACAAAGTTAAGTCGTACACTGTGTGCATTACTAACAATCTTACGTTACGGACGTTTTTTCCCGGTTACCCTAACCCTACCCCTCCGCATCGTCCCATAAGGAACTTCGTTCCAATAAAACAAACTCAATACCTCTCATTAGGTTTAGGTCAACATAATTTAGACAAGAGTTAGTGTAAAACTGTTTCTTTGTGGCTCCACCAGGTACGACATCAAAAGTCACAGCGGAAGACCTTCATTACGGCGACAAGTCTTGCATGCTGAACGCCACACATCTGTCGCTTAGCCAACTTCCAGTTGTTTGTGAGAAGGTTAATTCTTCTGAAATGTAAGTTCATTGTGTTTTTATTATATAACTATATGACTGCGTATTGAATATTTTTGTACTCACGTGTGCTCGTCACTGAAGTATGTCTAATAAACGGCTCGATCGGTTTGATTGGAATTTATTGTGTGTGCTTGAGTGGTTTAGATATAAAATTGGAGCCAGTCGGTGGCGTTGCAATCGTTTTTTTTTTTAAAGATTAGACATACCTACATGTGTCAGTCCCGCTAGAACCTTAATACATATTTTAGCAAGCTCTTGACCATTAAAAAAACATTGATAATGCACAACATTGAACACTAGGCGGATCGAAAATACGACTGTTAATCACTACATATTATAAAACAAAGTCGCTTTCTCTGACCCTATATCTGTCTGTCCCTATGTATGTTTAAATCTTTAAAACTACGCAACGGATTTTTATGCGGTTTTTTTTAATAGATAGAGTGATTGAAGAGGGAGGTTTATATGTATAATAACATCCATTAAATAGTGGAGAAATCAATAATAAATTACAGTTTCCGAAGCGAAGCGAGGACGGGTCGCTAGCTTATAATATAGGATAAATATTATAAATATACTACGAATACCGTGGACTGCCATGAGAACTAACGAGTCCATTCTAAGGAAGCTAAACATCCGAAAAAGGCTCTCTTCCATCTGCCGGGAACGTGTTGTGAGCTTCTTCGGACACATCACGCGGTCTCCCAGACATGAGTAAGAGAAGCTCATAATTGCAGGTCGCATAGAGGGCAAACGCACCGTGGGCAGAACACCAGTCAGATGGTCAGATCTGGTAAGAGAAGCACTCGGTGGTAGTCTATACCATGCGGTTCATGCCATCCATGATCGAACACTGTGGAAGAACGTCACATGTGGTCGCGATCTTCAGTAGTGAGGGAACGATTTAGAAGAGATAAGTACTTCATAAGAAGACAACAACGCCGCGATCGGTGCTCAACAAAGAGACAATTAAAATTAGTCTTCAACGACGAACGTGACTCTGCTCGGCTGTAATAAACTAGCAGTGTTATTAATGATGTTTTAATTGACAGTTAAAAGACATTTAACCCATTCACGGCTCGGTAAGAGTGACACTGGAGGCTCATGAATAGTCACGTTCTAATCCGGTAGTTCAGAAGGCATTCTCAAGTTCTCACCTGAAGAAGTTCTCACCGGATCTTCTCAGTGGGTCGCGATTTTTCGGCGGTAGATTCTGCGAAGCTCTACTCTTGCTAGAGCTAGTGTTAGCAAATTCTCTAAGGTTGAGCCCGTGAGCTCACCTACCCGTCGGTGCGTAGCTAGTTAATAAAAAATATATAAGTACTAAAACGGTTTTTTTTAATGCTTAGATGGGTGGACGAACTCACAGCCCACATGGTGTTAAGTGGTTACTGGAGCCCATCTACAACGTAAATGCGCCACCCACCTTGAGATATAAATTCTAAGATCTCAAGTATAGTTACAACGGCTGCCTCACCCTTCAAACCGAAACGCATTACTGCTTCACGGCAGAAATAGGCGGGGTGATGGTACCTACCCGCGCGGACTCATAAGAGGTCCTACCACCAGTAATTACGCAAATTATAATTTTGCGGGTTTGATTTTTATTACACAATGTTATTCCTTCACTGTGGAAGTCGATCGTGAACATTTGTTGAGTACGTATTTCATTACAAAAATTGGTACCCGCCTGAGATTCGAACACCGGTGCATCGCTCAACACGAATGCACCGGACGTCTTATCCTTTAGGCCACGACGACTTCATAATACTAGGGTGTTTGTTACCCTAAGTATTTATATTCAAACAAAAACAGATTATCTTTAAATTTATTGAGTTTAATTAACCATGAAATTAAATGAATTGTGTCGTAAACTGATCTAGAATCGCATTGCCTTCAGCCGAGTAGTTCGGTCGCGAAGTGTCCTTCAAGAGGACATGACTGTAATAGGGTTGCTTCAATATAAATATAACACGATCATAATATATTTTTTATCGACCTGAAACCTAAAGCTTAACAATCGGTGTATCATTGAACATCAAAAACCAGCAGTGGGTGTCTTTCGACGGATGTTAATGTGCATGTTTTAAGCTGGTGGTAGAGTTCCACGGGCTCCCACGGGTAGGGTACCACCACCCTGCCTATATCTGCCATGAAGCAGTAATGCGTGTAGGGTGGGGGCGGTAAAAAACTGAGATTTCGAACTTGTGTCTCAAAGTACTCACCTGCATTGGCGGTATCTATGTTGTTAATGTCCTTTTTCTGTTATTGCTTAGATGGGTGGACCAGCTCACAGCCCACCTGGTATAAAGTGGTCACTGGAGCCCATAAACATCTACGATGAAAATGTACCACCCACCTTGAGATATAAGCTCTAAGGTCTCAAGTATAGTTACAACGGCTGCCTCACCCTTCAATCCGAAACGCATTACTGCTTCACGGCAGAAATAGGCAGGGTGGTACCTACCCGTGCGGACTCACTCTCGTGAGCTTCGGTAATCACTTTTTTTGTTGCTAAGTAATATTTGCTCAGTAGGTATATTTTATTGTTAAAATGGATGGACGAGTTCATGGCCCACCTAGTGTTAAGAAATAAAAAAAAGCATTAATTACCAGCTGAACAACTAAGGATATTGGCGCCTAATTATTTAAGTGAATATAAGCGATGTTGATAATTGTTTTATTTTTTTCTAATTCTTAATCTTCACGGAGGCGAATTGTCAAATTTTGATAGGCCGTTGATATTATGCAATCAAAGAATGCGTTTAAAAAAAGTGATCGAAAACCCAGTCGTTTCATTCTATGGATTACGGTTACTGCTTTACATCAAACGGACCGTGAGCTGGTCTGGTCATCTTAATCGATTAAAAGAGTCTTATTTTGTATTGTATTAGTAGTCGCTATTTCCGGGATCTAATTAAACTTTTCTGCATTCGCTGGTACTTAGTTTTTCGTTGGTACTTAGTTGTATAACAACAGGTGATTTTTTTTACCCATAAGTGTCATCGCTGGATACGATGCCGAGTTAGTTATTAGGAAAAGTTTCATATATCAATCAAATTAAATAATTAAATAAATAATAAAACTTCTCGTTAAATATGTCAAAATAAAATTAATTAATACTTTTTTTGGTCAGCCCTATTGCGAAGGTCACCGTGCGTGTCAATTGTAGTCAATCAGGAAATATGCGTGGCTTATTAAAATATACGTAGAAAAACCACTCAATTTAAATACGTAGTTTTTTCATATTATTATTGTAATGATTTATGATTCCAATAATCAAATTTATTCAGTAGCTTATGTTTTAGGAATTACATTTAACGATACTATAATGTAGTGTTGACAGTAAGTCGGTAGGAATTGAATCGAAAAGGTTTAAAATTCTTATTGTTGAAATTTTCTTGAAGGCACGCCGACTGCTTATACATTAGCGAACCAATTTGGATCACTTTATTGTGCACTCGAGGCCAAACCTAATAATGATCATGAACTTTCGTTTGGTAATCAACTTTGATGAGAAATCTATAATGTATCATTGCAAACAATTTCCTACTACTTCTTATTCTTTGTTGGTCCCTCACTAATGAGGCAGGTCACCGTCCTCGTCGAACCCGTCGCTTGCGACGATGGGCTCGATGAGCGAATTAACCCATAGACAAAGCTCACTGAATTTCTCGCCGGATCTTCTCATTGGGTCGCGTTTTCGATCCGATGGTAGATTCTGCGAAGCACTGCTCTTGCTAGGGCCAGTGTTAGCAACACTCCGGTTTGAGCCCCGTGAGCTCACCTACATGTTAGGGCGAAGCTGAAATAGCCTCTCAAGGCCTTCAGAATAGGTAGGAATAAAAATAAATAACAAACTAATGAGGATCGTGGTCACATGCCATATCTCCATTCACTTAGAATTCTTCGAAGGAAAATTAAACGCGGAAAACTTTTAGAGACATGTTGAATTTTACCTAGCGGTATTGTTTAAGTTCTCTCTCACAAATAGACTTATGGCTCTATTGCCCTTACTACCTCATTAATTTTGGCTATAAGCCGTTTAGTTATTACCTCTATACAACTGAGACATATTATTATGTGGCACTGCAAAGAAGGCGTCTAATCTGTGAACGGTGTTCGCAAAAAAATTATTAATACCTATCTGAAAATTAAGTGTCGCACAAACATGTGCAGTTTTTCCAATCGGCAAATGACAAAAACCTGAAAAAAAAATCAATACAGACTTACAGGCAGAGCAAAAACACATTAATAATGTCTCTTGCCGGGAGTTTTTGCGTTGAGCTCGCGGAAGTCTACTGGAATGTAGGATCGATTCTTTGTGCCGCGTATATTTTTTAGTTCATTTATTTATTTGTCCTTTCAATGATCTTGTGCTGTCTCTGTGTCCTTATGTTGATAGTTTTCTTATTGTTGTTGTACTATACGTTGTGTGTGTGTTGTATGTTCTTTTATTGCTGATTATGGATATCGGTACTGTTATTATTTTTTATTGCTTTGGTGGGTGGAAGGCCCACCTTGTGTTAAGTGGTCGGAGCCCATAGACATCTACAACGTAAATGCCGCCTTGAGACATGAGTCCTAAGGTCTCAGTTTTTACAGTACAATGGCTACTCCACCCTTCAAACCGGAACGCATTACTGCTTCACGCCAGAAATAGGCAGGGTGGTGGTACCTACCCGTGCGGACTCACAAAACGTCCTACCACCAGTAAGTCAGTAAGTTAGGGGCCAAATAGATGTTAACCAATTTTATTTTTGAGCTTTGCGCTTTTTTCCGTCCTAACCGCGTCCTCCACCGAGTTAATTTGCCACCATCTCGGGTAGTGAAAGCAGAGCCTTCATGTTCGATGCGTAGAAAGAGCAGTTTTGTTAAATTGACTAATTTAAATTTGTTACAGATGCGAGTCCTTAACTCTGAACGGCACACGGTACTGCGAATGGGGCTACAATGGCCTCGGCATCGACTATCAAGTCCTGGCTGGACCTGCCTTCATGGCGGTCTTCACCGTTGTCGGAGTTGTACTCGGAGTGGTCGCGGATAAGTAAGTGCTTACACTGTAGCCTGTTTCTAGATTATCTTGTTCTTCCATTTAGAAATATAGCGTTTATCTATACAATAAATACAGCACTGTTTGTATTTATTTAAACCACCCTACTCCTAGTGGTAGGTATATAGGTAGGTAGTGGTAGGTAATAACTGACGCCGCGGTATTTAGATTCAATTCATGTATTATTACTCTTTCTTATTTGTTGTGTTCGTTTGTTTTTTTTTTTTTTTTTTTTTTAATGGTAGTAAAAACAGTTTACGTCTACGATCTTTATGTTTGACAAAGTCAATCGATAAGGTATTGGTCATAGAGTTAGTATTTTAATATTATTTTAGTTGTAGGCTACGAATAAATAGACTTATTATTTATTCGTAGGTTGTAGGTACTTATTAACTACATGGGTATTGTAGTGTTAATGTTAAATGTGTTTATTTAAAAATGGAGTTTCATTAATATTGTAATCAGAACTACGTGGCAACACAATAAATATTGGCCACATCAAAAACCACTAAACTGAACAAAGACTTTAAGAATTGTATAAAAATTGGAACTTATAATGTCAGGTCTCTGTCATCAATACACCGATACTTAGAACTCAATAATGCATTGAAAGATATAAAATGCGACATACTAGGTCTCTCAGAAACAAGAAAAATGGGCTGCCACATAGAAGAGTATTCAGACTATGTTCTCTGCTATATAGGAGAAACAAAGGGATTGTATGGAGTCGGATTTTTAATAAAAAAGGCATGGAAAAACAATATAACTAACTTCACTGGCATTTCGGAGAGAGTAGCGCTACTTCAAATGAATTTTGGCGGACTAGACATTTCTATAATTCAGGCATACGCACCCACGGAAAAATCAGACGATACAGAAATACAAAAATTCTACAATGATCTGAAAAAAGCTCATACACTATCCAATGAGAAAATCATAATATTAGGAGACTTCAATGCAAAAATAGGGCAACCCAAAAAAGAAGAAAAACTCGTCATGGGACAGTACGGGCTAGGCCAAAGAAACGAAAGAGGCGAAAGACTGCTAGAATATGCATTGGAATATAGACTAGCAATAATCAACACTTATTTCAAAAAAAGACCCAGCAGAAGATGGACTTGGAAGTCACCAGACGAAAAAGTTAAAAACGAAATTGACTACATCATGACAAATGTCCCAAAAATAGTCCAAAATTATGAAGTTCTCAACAACGTAAAGTTCCAAACAGACCATAGACTACTTAGAGCAACAGTTCTATTGAGTCAAGCGAAAAAAAATAGAAAAGGCTTTAAACCACCACCAAAAATCCCAAAAAATGAAGAAGAAACAAGATACTACATAGACAGCCTCAAATCGAACATCGAAACCAAACTAGCAGATACCAGAAACGTTCAATCTTACTATGATGCGCTAGAAATAGCTATAACAAAAAGTTTAACTAGCAAAAACAATACAAAAAAAGAAAAACGACACAAAATATTTAGCGAAGAAACACTAGCCTTAATTAACAAACGCAGTGAATTAACTCTAAGAAAGAATAAAGATGCTGATACAAAGAAAGAACTAAGCAAAATATATAAGGAAACTAGCAAAGCGATTAAAAGAGACTATAGTAAGCACAGGCAAAGGATAATAACAGAAAATTTAAATAAATTCCGAAGCACAAAGAGAGCATTTAAAGAATTAAACTTAAGAAAAACTTGGATACAAAAACTAGAAGGCCAACATAAAGAAATTACAACAAGACAAGAAATCGTACAGAAGGCAACTTCTTTCTACCAAGAATTATACAAAAACAAAAATAAAACCATCAAGGAAGCCAACGATTCACACAACTGTTATAACACGGAAACAATTAGACCGATAGAAGAAAAAGATACATACGCGCAGCTGAAGCATCTAAAATCAGATAAAAGTCCTGGTCCCGACGCAATAACCAATGAAGCTCTGAAAATAGGCGCACCAGTTTTACTTAAGCCTCTCACAGAATTATTCAATCTCATACTAGAAGCTGAAATCGTACCAATCCAATGGTGCACGTCGGACATCATATTACTATATAAAAAAGGAAACCCCCTCGATATCAACAACTATAGACCAATTAGCTTACTGGCAAATATATACAAAATCTTCTCATCTATAATTCTTAAACGCATAACACAAGAGATTGAAAAGGCACAACCAATAGAACAAGCTGGTTCAAGACCAAAATTAGCCAAATCGGTCCAGCCGTTCTCGAGTTTTAGCGAGACTAACGAACAGCAATTCATTTATAT